TCCCCCACCGTGGCCTCAAAACTAGGTAGTGTTGAGTAATTAGCTCAATTTTTCAACCGAACGTGATAATTACTTTTGATAAATATTTGCATAATTGAACTACTAAGTGCCTCGTCTTTTTTTCAGTCCCTCTACCCAACCCTCCCTTACAATGTGCTGGAGGTTAATGTTATTCGCCAACACACAACATTCACACATTCTAGAAAGCCACACAATGCAAAAGGATAATAGCTGTTCTTGTGTTGTGGGCAGAGAGGTATTATACATTAACAAGGTTAGAATAACAGTTGTGTACATAGCTATTACGGGACAGGGAATATATTGCTAATTTTATACATTTTTAATAATAGATTAATATAAATAGGCAATTGTAAAGTAACATTTAAAAAAAAGATATATATCTCACATTTAAAAAAATATGTGTACTTCTGTATATGTGTGTGCTGTGTGTGTATATATATATATATATATATATATATACCTGTATATGTGTGTGTGTGTGTGTGTGTGTGTGTGTGTGTGTGTGTGTGTGTGTGTGTGTGTGTGTGTGTGTGTGTGTATGTATGTATGTGTGCATGCATGTATGTGTGTATGTACGTGTGTATGTGTGTGTATGTACGTGTGTATGTACGTGTGTATGTGTGTGTATGTGTGTATGTATGTATGTATGCATGCATGTATGCATGTATGTATGTATGTATGTATGTATGCATGTATGCATGTATGCATGTATGCATGTATGCATGTATGTATGTATGTATGTATGTATGTATGTATGTATGTATGTATGCATGTATGCATGTATGTATGTATGTATGTATGTATGTATGTGTATGTATATAAACAAACAATATATAAACTATATATATAAACTATATATATATATATATATATATATATATATATAAACAAATTCAGTGGCTTTCTAGTAAGCAAAGAGTGCATAAAGCAAAGGCCTGGCTCTATTAGCTGGAAAGAATCTCATGGAATAACATTTCAGTTGCTCACAGGCTTAAAGAAGAGTGAATTAAAGAGATAGAGCGGAGGCAAGCTAAGAGGAAACCAAAACCAGTGTCTTTCTTCCTCCCCACACCTTTGTGATATCAATAATTCCTTATCTAAATGGATCCAGAGCCACCCGTAACAGCTTTTTGATTTTGTGTGAGACCATGCCAGGCCTCATAAATAAATATGAGGAGTGGTGGGGGAATTCTGGAATGCTGTAGTTTACCTCACCGTGCAGGAGACTCTCGCTAAAAGCCCTGGCAGAGACTCTGTCTGACGGGTACTGCCAACCAGTCACGGCACAGCACAGGATACTAGTGGCGTGAGGTAGACTTACGAAATGAAGTGGCAAAGTTCCCTTTCTGGGTTTGGTTTTTTAGTCTGATGTAAACTTATATATATTCATAAATTCTATATTTTAAATTCTGATGTTTACTTTGTTTTTTTAGTTTAAGGCATATGAACAAGATTTATCTTACACTATTAACAAGGAACAAGTATTATAAAAATGTTTATAAAATATTTTAATAACACTATTAAAGTAAAATATTTCAATATGCAAAAAAACTATATTAAAATTAGTACTTACAAGGTTTTATTAAAATAATAGTGCTAGTATTTTTTTTTTTACAGTCAAATTTGCAGTCACCGGGGAAGCCAGCATTGTTTGCTAGCGATGGAGGTAGTAGCCAATCATCTGGCCAAATTTAGGGTTTAAATTTATGCTTTCACGACAACAATGTAATACAATCGGAAATGTTTTTCCTTTGCTTTTTTCCTGTCCAAACGACAACGTTGTCAAACTATCCCAGATCAAATGGATCCGCGAAAATAATCCTGTAATCTGCATGCCAGGCCAGTAGTTGGCGATGTCACTCTGTAAAGAAACACTACGCACCTATAAACTAAACACTTAAAACACATGCGCATGACGTCACCGTTTTCACAAATTCGCGTTTTCATAGTTTACATGGAGATAATGACTTTTTTTTTTTGCACTTTGAAACCCATTTTCAAAAGTTTATGTTTTCAAGCCCCCAGATGTCATACAACGATTGGTCCGCGCACCGCTGCTTCGTCAAACACACCTAATGTATTCTGTGAATGTGTTTCTAGTTTATGCGCATACCCTCTAACTGAAAATAAAAATAAAATAGGATCCACCTCGACAAAATGTAATTTGTTCACTCTCGCAAACTATACAAATGACTTTTTGTCTAAATTTACATTTTTCCAAATTGTACTTGCATCTCGGTGAAATTCGCACTTTTTATGCAATACCACAAAATTCACATAAAAATGTGGATGGAGACCTTGCTACTAATAGAGTATTTAGTAATTCCAAATCTCGTAGTGTTTACGGTTTCATTTTGTACTGTTGATTTCCTTGAGAACACACAACTACCCTTTTCTCCTCAAGTAACACCCCTGCTAAAGCCAGATGAATGATGTTCATTAAAAAGACTTGCGCTGACCTGACACAGAGCATCCAGAGACGCATTATTCTTACACAACATTAGGAGCGCAAGCCTCACCTAATCTACATATCTACACACTCGCACACAGAGACGATAAATGGAGTGAACGAGAGACAAAAGGAGAAAGCCACAGAATTGGGAGGACTTTTATTGTGAAACAGAGGCAGAGGGATTATTCTCCCGCCGCGCTGAGCCCAACGAGCCGTGACGGGTCCATCTCCAGTTCCCGACACACACAGCAGTGGTGTCTCAAATGCTTCTTACCTCACAACACACACACACACACACACACACCCTAAACCTCTGCAAGCCAGTCGCGACCTGGATGGAATTACGTAATGCTGCAGCCAGTGCGGTTGTCATACAGCAGGAAGGGATGGGGCTTTAGAGAGAGAGAGAGAGAGAGAGAGAGAGAGAGAGAGAGAGAGAGAGAGAGAGAGAGAGAGAGAGAGAGAGAGAGAGAGAGAGAGAGAGAGAGAGAGAGAGAGAGAGAGAGAGAGAGAGAGAGAGAGAGAGAGAGAGAGAGAGATAGAGAGAGAAAGAGGAATGGGAGGTGGGAAGGCAATGAAGCAAGAAGTCAGACTGATCTATTAAAGCTAATAATTACAATAATAAAACTGTAAAGATGCAGTCATAACCCCAGAAGCATTGCGAACAAGCGTAGCCCTCTCAAGGTCAGACGAGGGAGGGCCGCACTTTAACGGTTACCAGCTCAGAATCCGGCTGAGTGATTACAGGTTTGAATTGTCCTCGTTCAAGGTCATCTTACCAAAACTGGCAAGTTATGTGACCTTGAATGTGACCGTACCTGAAATACTGAACAGCAACTGGATTTGCGATTGCCATAGTGTGAGAGAATGAACTATGGCAGAATACATTAAAAAGATTTGATTTGTACATTTTCTGAAGAAAAACTCAACCGTGGTTGTTAGGTCAATAAGAGCCTATTATATTGAAACCTCTACTCTATGGCTTGGTACCTCCTTTAATGTAAGATGTTTCACACATTGTATCACCCCTTTAGGTGAAAGTCGAAACATTTGATCGCTTTGCAAAGTAACAAAACGCCTCTCCTCAACAAGCCGCATCGCTTGAATGGCCTTGTTCCTGTGTAATGTGAGAAAACAGCCTGATATATACACACAACATTGGGACACGAGCTGATAAATGATTTGAACAGGTCATCTTCAGAGCGGAACAATTATCTCCACCAAAATTGAAATGCCTGTCAAAACATTCCTGAGCCGGAGCGCTTTCAGGAAGACTGCTCTGACAAGAGGCACAAAAGCGCTGACAGGAGAGGACAAGGAAGACCTCAGCTTCTCTCACGTGACATTAACCCTACTGACCCCAAAATGGCCTCTAGACAATTATTGAAAAACAGCTCCTGCCTTTCAAAAAGAGCAGCCTGTAATAATGACAGAGTATGTGATTTTGATTATTAAATACAACATGAAATCAAAATTAAGTCAATGTATTGGTCCTTTAGCACTTTGTAAATACACAATACATAAAAACTGCCTGTAAAATGGATTTTTTTTTGCTACCAAGGTCAAGACTGTGTGTGTTTGCGTGTGTGTAGTACCTACTTAACTATATTTTGGCGACAAATTTGTACCCAGAAGTGACCAAAATCTGACTAAATCTCCAAAAACCTCCCTTTAGGGACGTCCATATTTGTAAATGTGATAAAGTAAAATAAAGTAATTAAAGGTTTTTTAAAAATTTTAAAAATGCAGAAAGTTTTGTGTGATAGGTAGTGTTAGGGGTAGGGTTAGAGAGAGTAAGGGGAAAACATATACAATTTGGACAGCATGAAAACCATTACATCTATGGAATGTCCCCATTTAGATATACATATGTGTGTGTGTGTGTGTGTGTGTGTGTGTGTGTGTGTGTGTGTGTGTGTGTGTGTGTGTGTGTGTGTGTGTGTGTGTGTGTGTGTGTGTGTTTGTTTTTGTGATATATGAGGACACAAATGTGTATAATGACATGCATATTACACTGGTATTACAACTTACACGTGATATATGAGGACATTGCATGAGTCCTCATATTTCAAATAGCTTAAAAAACATAAAAAACAATGTTTTTTTTTAAATGTAAAAATGCAGCATGTCTCCTGTGATGGGTAGGTTTAGGGATAGGGGCAGTGTAGGGGGATAGAATATACAGTTTGTCCAGTATAAAAATCATTACGCCTATGGAATGTCCTCATATATCACAAAAACAAAGCTGTGTGTGTGTGTGTGTGTGTGTGTGTGTGTGTGTGTGTGTGTGTGTGTGTGTGTGTGTGTGTGTGTGTGTGTGTGTGTGTGTGTGTGTGTGTTGTGTGTGTGTGTGTGTGTGTGTGTGTGTGTGTAATGATGAAATATACGAAGCAATACATTTATAACAAATATATAAATAAATGTCAATATTATTGGTTGTAATATATTTAATCACTTCACAATACAATACAAATCCAACAGAATAAAATCAAGATTATTTCCATTTGAAGCATCTACTTTCTCATACCTCTTTTCTCAGGTCTTCTCGTATGACCTGCCTGATCTCCTCCATACTGCTCTGAGGCGCTCTGCTGTGCAGGATCTTCAGTCAGTGTGCTGGTGTACTCCTCAGGCAGGAGGTAGTCCAGGGCTCCCAGGTGCTGCACCTACTTTAATGAAGGTGCCTCTGTTCATACAACACAGGTCCCGGAGCCTTTCCGCCGAACGCCTGTGAACCTGAAGAAAAAGACACATTTAAACAAATGTTTCAATTCTTAGAGCAATTTCAAATTATTTATATCCTCTCATAATTCTCATTTATACAACTACTGTTCAAAAGTAACAGCAAAGTCATTTATAATGTTACAAAATCAAAGAATCCTGAAAAATAAGTAAGTATCACAGTTTCTACAAAAGCAGCACAACTGATTTAACATTGATAAGGTTTCTTGAGCATCATATTAGAATGATTTCTGAAGGATCATGTGACACTGAAGACTGTAGAGAGATATTATGAAGGAATTCTGCTTTACCATCACAGGAACCATTTAAATTTTAGAATTTAAAAACTTTTAGGTACAACATTAAATATAACTGTTAGATCAAAATTTTAGATCAAATAAATATAGCCTTGTGTTCACATTTTTTTTTTATCTTACCGACCCCAAAATTTTAATGGTAGTCAATAAATATTATTAGTATATATATAATTCTTAAGTATTTGCAGTAGACAATACGCTAATTCACAATACTTAAAATCCCCAAGGTATGTTATTCAGTGGTAAAATACCAGTGAATAACCGAGTAACGAATAAACGAGATAACATGGTAGTACCATCACACTTTGATAAAATGCCACTGTATGATTACCACATTAAAAAAACAAGGTATTCCAAAAAATAATGGAACTTCCATAGTATATGGATTTGTGGATGTGTCCTAGTGAATAGATTAATAATTGTCCGTTATTTTGAAGTGTTAACCAAAAAGCAATTGCAAGAAAACCTAGAAGCAGCAAAAACACTATTATTAATTTGCTGTGAATTAGCAAGGACAACATGAAGAATGGACAATATAACAGAAGTTTATTTTTGATCAGTTGCCTGCAACATTCCTACCAGCGAAAACACACACACACACACACAAAAAAAAACTACACACAAATGTTCCCTCCCGGTCATCTCGTTTGTCTTAAATGCATGAAGAAGACCCATAGTCATGTGACATTCCAGGACGTCACTGAGTGATACAGAAAGTAGCTGACAGAGATCGCTGTAACATGCAGATAAAGATGTTTTGAAAACAATAAACATGATTGCAATGATATTTGAGTTACCTGTGTTCTTCAAGCCATGCCAGGTATTTCATAATAATAGATTATATTTATAATGTAATGCTAATCGATATAGATTTCATCATCGTTCAGAACACTAAATAATACATTTTCTGTCGGATTTTTTTTTAATATGAAGCCAAGTTAGATCACAGAAGATTATTTAAAACACTAGACTTGCGTTATATAGTAAGTTTGGAGCACAAACATAATTTTAATCTCATAAATGGTCGTGTATTGATGGTGTGCTAAGCTAACATGCTA